AGAAGCTCATAAATTGTGTAGAAGTCCATCAATCATCCCAGACTCGATGAATCCTTTCGAATGCCAAACCCGTGTCGTGTTGGGAATTACTCCCAACGCTGGAGGTAAACCTCTTCTAATATTGAACAATTGCTAATCTTTCAAATGGATCAAAACAAATCGATGATGATTCAAATAATTTAATCAGATTTAATCATTGCATGGAGTTCTTCAGCATTGAAGGTCCCAGATTTTAATGTAGGTCTATCGAAAATTAGAACTATTTTACGGTCCAGGCGGGCACGCAGGACGGAAAGACGATATACTGTACGAGAAATTAATTGAATTACTAACGCGCTAAGGTCGAACATTGTTCAAACATTCAACTATGGAAATGTAACAAATAAAATTCAGGAAAACTACTCACCTTATTTTAGCAAAAATGAGTTCACAGCCTCAGTGGAGTGTTTTCAGGGTCGATCAGTACATACTTGCGAGATCGCGAGTGAAAATAATACACAGTTTTCAATTGCGGCCACACTTCAATCTGTTGAAACCCGCGTTAGTTCAATAGTTTAAAAGTCGCCACAGATACGGAATTTGAAGGCACCATAGATAAAGGCTCAAACACTTAGGCAATTAATTAAGGCGAGTAGAGTTAAAGTTAAGAGTTAAAGCGTGACCTGCAAACCGGATTAAGTTTCCAAAAGATACTGGATAGATTTACCGTTTGAACAGCACTTATTGAAGTTTATCTTCGCAAAGTAAATTCACTTTAATTTGAGGTTTATTTAAATAAACTAACATTCACATTTAGCGGGCGAGCCAAAGCGTTCACAAGAAGTGAAAAATGTTGGCACCCAAAATTAAAGTATAAATTATCAAGGGTTGTGCACATCAATTAAAATTATTAGAGTAGAAAAAAAAGGAAGCTACGGGACACCAAGAATTAACACTGGAACAGGTAAGCAGGCACGAGTTTTAAGGCCGGTGCCTGATGAAGCGCTGGTAACGCAGGTTAAGATCTCACTTAATGTAATGTAATTCCGACGACCGCGGCTCGGTCTTTCATAGACGAGCGAACACTGCTTCTTAATCGTAATCCTTCAGGAGGCCTGGTTGTGAATTCTTCCCAACAGTACATTCAAGCAGAAATTCGAGAAGACAATCTTACAAATTTATTTAATATTTGCGTAAACCACTTCCGATTATTTGTAATAATAACCATTTAATAGTTCGCAATAATTACTATTTTTGCTTCAACCCCTTAAATTAATACAAAAATTCTCGCAATAAAACATCTTGATCACGATCGAAGGTGTAAAGTAATGAAGATATTTTCCAAGGGCAAAGGTCGGGCAGGTCTGCCGCGGGACGAAATGAATTCAGATTGATGGATCAATTTAAATTCAGAACAAACGAGAAGAGGGACACGCTCATTTATGCTGTTGTGCCTCTATAATAACCGCCCCATTGTGATGTTTGAATTATTGACTTTGAGTATACGTTGTTATTAATTAATCCTGCAGTCGTTTTTATTTTTATTGCACTTATTGATGTTTAAATTTGCGTCGTAACCAGCTGAAAGACTTGATCTTATAATCTTTTATACAGTAGATAGGAAACAAGAGATAGGATTGAACGAATAAAACAAACGGCTTATTTATCAGAACGTGGTTTCCTTCTCAATTTCGATGTGGAATTGAAGAACGAGCAAAAATGCGTGCTTTTAAATCAAGTATACGTCTGCAAAAGACTATTTCTTAGCGTTCGTAAATTTATATGATTTAAATATCAGTCATTGAGTCAGCTTCATCAGATAATGTCCTCGCTACATTCTGGACATTCACGACCCTAAAGCTTGAAGCCCCATACGTACGAGACGAAATAACTTTTTGCACGTGTTCGAATTGGTGCAATTGGAAGTCAAATTTATTTTAAAACAAAATCAAGACTGAGATTCAGCTACAACTGCTACATTGTTTACGATGACAGTTCATATCAGACCTAGATTCTATGGTAATGATTATTTAAACGAGCGATTTTCAGCGTTCAAAAACTGATGCATGGGAGTTTCATATTCTGACGGTTCCTTAGCAGTGGCTAAAACTTTCAAGCTACAGCAAAGCTTAAAATAGATACTTGCGGTTGCCCTCGAGTTGCGAGTCATGTTACGTACGCCTGCCTAAATTCATGTTTTCGCACGTAAACTTAATTAATAAAATTTTCAGTGAACCATGTGAATGGTTTGATGTTCAATATTGCCTGTACAGAGTTAATTTGGTGAAGACTTTACAATTATTGCTGTAGCATTTGAAAATTACATGATTGTAAAGGTAGCAAAATTTTACAAAAAATATCAAATAGATATATGGGGGGAATAAAACTTTGTGGACGGATGAAATTTTAGAAATTTGATTGATTTGTTTGCCATCCGACTAAGTATGAAAAGAGGTCCAATCACACATCAATAACAGGATTTTTAAGAAAGTAAACGCTTAAACTTCGGTTTATAAAAATATTTGCGTTCGATGAGACGGAATGGACTTGATTCTGGATCAATTACGCTTAGCATAGCAATTGGACCACCACTTGCCACTCATCGAAATATAAGTTCCTTAACTGTGTGAACCTGATGTCCTTTTTTTTTGTTATTGTTCCAAAGGAAGCACGAGCAACTTGAAAATTTGGAAGGACATTATTTCAAACAGTTCTTGACGCCAGTGACACAGAAATGATTACTATACAAGTTTCTAGTCGTTCCCAACAACACTTAATGCGAAATAAATTGCTGGGAAAAATCACGATAGTAAATGCGTTCGCAAGGCATGATCCATGCAGAAAATTGGACAAGCTCTTGGAATGCAATTTTGAAAATAGATCAATTAACTAAATAGATTTCCACCCGTCAGTAATTTATTCCTTTGACCAAAGAGAGTCACTAGCAGTCGTTGATTTTTTCGAGTCTTTTCCTTTCTGCGTGATGGTTAACATGATGAAAAACATTAAAACAATTGAGTGGCCTGAATGCAATCAGGTTTGATCACTGATTCTAGCAAATTATCGGATACGGAAATGAAATTTTTAACAGAGTTGAAATTACAAGCGGGGAATGTCGAAGATTGAAATTGGTGACTGCAGATGTTAACAAAATTTACTGTTTTTCGAACGTAATTGTATACGGCGAGCTAGGGAAAAGACTTCGATCACGGTTAACCAAAAAGGGAAGAAAAATAATTCTAAAAGTATTTTCGGATAAAACCACATATCTGTAAAACGACTTTATTCTGACAACAAATAGGCATAAAACATTTATTCTGACTAGGTCATGGCATGGAAATATATTTTCTTCCCATCGTCGAGTCGTACAGGTCGGCCTGCTTATCCTCGCGCATGAGAAGCGGCCAAGCTAGCACCGCGCAACAGTTCCCTTGTTGTTTCGTCCCCTCTACAAAAGCAGGCTCGACACCACACAACTTCCTGGGTGATGGATGCGCTGTGGTAAGATCGCTGGCTGATCACACGACAGAAGCAGGCTCGTGTTTTGATAATCAGAGCAGCGATCTTTCCGGCTAGCTGCGCTGCTCGTATGAACAAAGGACAACTGCTGGAAATATTCAATTGAGATGGACGTCATCTCTACCTTAAGATAATTCTTACTGTCCGTTTGGCGGTATGTGCTAATGGAATAGTGCATACTGCATAGTCTAAATCATGTTGTGAGATGAGGTGAATAAAAAATTTATGAGCAGCAACTTTCCCAACAGTCTATTGTTTGACTGTAGAAAGCATACGCTTTCAATAGTGAAGTTGTTTGCTTCTTCTATTTGGGTACATGGCTGTAAAATGATCAGGTAAGATACAATGGATGAACTTTCGTATTTGATATTGCAAAGTTTCTTGCCGATGTTAGTTATCTCAAAATCGCAGAATTCTTACTGGACTTTACATATTGAAAGGTCAGGTCCTACAATACAATAGACTGAAAGGTCAGGTAGGATACAAGATCAGGTAGGATACAATTGGGAAGCTTTCGGCAAGAACGCGAGGTGTCGAGTTGTTTGGAAAATATCGTTTATATTAGGGCATTAAAAATGACGTCGCCTTCAATGATACATAAGTCGCCACTCTGCAGATACTTCACTTACCTCGCCGCTCGTCACTAAAGCCGTATAATGGTTGTCAGAATTACGATTTGCAGAGTTCGATTGTCACATAATAACTACGAATCTTTTTCGATCGCGCTAGAAAGTTGTGGGTTAGTTTTGTTAACAATATTGATCGTTTCTTTTGAAGGCCGGTGATATGTGGCGAAGTTAGTTGTATTGTCGAGTAGTGCCTTATTCCTCGGCGGCAATGTTGGTTTAATACCTTAAAACAGTAATCGCATTCAACCCCACAAGTTCGACTCAACTTTGTTGTTCAAGTTTTTCTTTGCGCTGTATTCATAAATTTTTTATAAACGGATTAAAATCAGTGCAATCGAACATTTACTATTTATTGAAGCGACATCGAGTATCGTGTTGTCGGCGACTGCTGCTCCCACGCTACTCTATTTGTTCCAAGTTTGCGGCCAGAGATGCGAAGACGAGGAAGTCATCGCAGAAATCTTATTTGTTCTGCCTTTTATATCGGTATGAATGATAAGGTCATACTTATATGATTGGCTGACAGTTGAATGAATTAGAATATGTTGGAATAAAATCCCGGCTGAGCGGCTACGACGAAATCAATTTTTAAAAAGTTATGCTTAGAAAAAAATGTATTGAATAACAAAGAAACATAAAAAATCTGACTAGAAGCGAGAACATTTTATACCTTCTAACTGGGGCTGATTAAGATAAGATAAATGGAAAATATTCGCAACAATTCGCTATGGAATTTTCGCCAAAAGTGCCATGTGAATTTGAACCATTAAATGCGAATGCTTTCATTTTAAAAGGTTTGCAGAGCAATGATCATCCTTTTCTTCATCGAGCTGCCGAAGTTTTTTCTAATAAGTAGGTAAAGATATATAATTGAAAGGACTTCAGGAGTTTATTAATCAGTGACAATTATCATATACGTCACACTCAAAATAAACAGCTGAGAACAAAATTTTACATTGATATTTTCAAGTCTTATTCGCTAGAGGAGTCCGAGCTCTCACTTAGATTTTTTCTCGCTTTCTTCTCTTTAGAAGATTTTTTATTTTCTTTGCGGGATTTGTGCTTATGCTTCTTCTTTTCTTTCTTCTTCTTCTTCTTCTTTTTGTGGTCTGCATGTTCTTTAGTTCTTTCAACGAGCTTCGTGTCATCAAATTTCTTTATACCAGGAACAGCTTTCTTCTTCCCCTCACGTATAACCTGCAACGGACTGACAAAATTTGGCGGCAGCGCAGCGCCGTACGCGTCGCTGGAGTCAACAGACGAATTTGAGTCGTCAGACGAGCTTTCGAGGACTCGACGCACTGACTCGGACGTACTTTTTATCTGTGGCCTAGTTTCAGTTCTTGTGCTTTTATCTGAAGGATTATCTCGGCTCTCAGTTTTATCAATCGAGGCCTTATCATCTGGAGGATCAGAAATTAATTCTCGGTACTTGTTGAGTTCTGCAAAATCGATGTTGGCAAAAATTCCACCTGCTCGAGACTGGGTAGGCTTCGTCACCAACTCCGACGGAGACCTGGAGTTACTAGCCGCATTTTTCTCGTGTGGATAAGTTTGGCCTGAGCGAGAAATAGAACCATGGCCCATACCAGCATCAGTAGCCTGCTGTTCGAATCCCCTTCTGTTTGAAGAATGAAATTCCGAATTCGTTCTAACTGATTCATCATCAACATTATTTTTACTGCATTTTTGTTTGTTATTTGCCGATATCGAAGCATGCTCGCTGTTGGAAGATTTTGTTGCCATCGTTGGATATCTGTCAGGGTCCGAGTGTTCACGTAAAGCCATTTGCTTTCGATCACCATTATCTTTTTCAGACCGAGATAACAATAAATGTTTGGAACTGCTGGTTTGGATGGAAGAATTTTTCGCAGTTTCTTCATCGCTGTGGTCAGACTCAACCACGAAACTAAGACTGGATTTAACCACAGACGCCGATCTCTTTTTCTTCTTATCAATCTTTTCAGAACCGTTTTCAATCTTAGCATCATCTCCGTCGCCTTTGCTTTTCTGAGACACAAATATGTGTTTTGGAGGTACAATCAAGGTATCTCCCTTGTCGCCAGAGTCTTCATTGCTCAAAATTTGCTTAGGAGGTTGAAATTCAAGATCATCTTCATCACGCGGTTCAAATCGACTCTTCCGAGTTCGCTGCGATGGTTCGTCCAATTTTCGTTCATTTTCACCAGCATTGCGAAGAGACTTGGACGAATTTGGCAATTCAAGCTTTTTATTTTCTGGTTCAGAACTTTCAGAGTCGCTCGATGAGGACGACGAGTCTTGAAAAATAGCCTTGAAGAGGTCAATAGTCGGAGGCCCTGTAACCGATACCTGGAGAATAATGACGACTGAATTAATGCTTGTTTGTCAGAGAGGGATTATGTTCGTCAGGAGAGGGATCATCAACGAAAAAAAATCTAGCACTATATAATTAATTTTCTGTGAGCATGAGAGTTTGCGACTTACAGAGTGTAATTTTCAACCCAAATGAAGCTAGAAAATTTTTAATAGAAATTCAATATTTCATACATTTTATAAATATTATCTATAATAAGGAACTTTCCTTCAAACTTCTCGCAGCTAAAGCAAGGTATGGTTAACACAAAAATGCTGCATCATAACACGAATATAATGTTTGGTAATTACGATGATCACTTATGGAATTTACTAGTAAAACAAATTCTCATCATTCTAAATTTTCAGTTTCCTATGAACAAATTTCAAAATTTTTCGTAAAGGTCATCACGGAATCCTTCGCAAACAAATAAATGTTTGCGATATTTACTTTCATTTGCAACCGTACGTTTCAGTTTGTTCAGCTAGCTTCATAGTGCGACATGTTTTCAAAATAACCATTGTTTTTCACTCTCAAACCACGGAAGTTCTCGGATGATTTTGATTTGATATTTGGTGAAATTTTGGCTAATGACACATCAGCTCCAATGCTGACCGCTCGATGAGTTTGTATTTTTCGTCCCACCTTCAAGCCGTAAGTCTCCGGCGTCTCAGGCTCCAGATCTTCGTTGGAGGGGACCGTGACAGCGGCGACTGAAGAGGTCGTGGTGGCAGCGACCGGCGGAGGTCGTGAGGGCGACGCAACGCGCAGGACATCAAGCCCGTCTCTTGTGCCACTCTTGCCAGACGAAGACATCACACCAACGTGGCGAGAGCTGAAGCGATCAGAGGCCATACTTTCAAAACTCGCTAAGTGAACGTAAGTACTTACGTTCTTTTTTTCTTGTCTATGATTGAAGAATTTTGCTTGAAAGGTCGTCAATGATTGGCTGATGAACTTACGATCTCCTAACTTTTTTTGAAAGTATAGGCCCAGGAGATGTGATTACGGTGTGAGAACAATGAATGCGAGGCGAGGAACATTTGGGTGACATCGATTTATTACAATATTGAGTTCGTCAAATCAAAACAATCAAATTGAACAAGCAGTTCATCTCAAAGTCACTAGGCTCACAAACTAGATAAGAATTAGAAATCAACAGATACTAGAACCAACAGATACTAGAACCAACAGTTACTAGAACCAACAGTTACTAGAACCAACAGTTACTAGAACCAACAGTAACTAGAACCAACAGTTACTAGAACCAACAGTTACTAGAACCAACAGTTACTAGAACCAACAGTTACTAGCAGAGCTGGGCAGCGCTACTTTGAAATGTAGCGGCCGCTACCGCTACAATTGCTTAAATGTTGCGCGCTACTGCCCACCTCTGGACTAACAACTAACATGTTGACACTAGTAACAGGCTGAGGTTGACAACATTACACTGAAATCTTTCGTACAGTTTCATTCTGTAATTTATATTATGTATGTATCTGCTGATTTTTAAATAATATTTAATACTATTAAGTAAAATCTAAAGGCTTTATCTATAAATGTAGCGGTAGCGCTGTAGCGGTAAAACCTCGTATCGTTACTTGAATATGTAGCGGGCGCTACCGCTACCGCTATAATTGATTAAATGTAGCACCGCTACCGCTACTGAAAATGTAGCGGCCACTAGTAGCGGCCGCTACTGTAGCGCGCTACTGCCCACCTTTGGTTACTAGAACCAACAGTTACTAGAACCAACAGTTACTACAATTAACAGTTACTAGAACCATCATTCCCACCGATTATCACCCATGTTCCTAAAACCATCATTCCCACCGATAGCCACCCAGTTACTAGAACTATAAAGATAAACCAAACGTATATAAATATATCGTATTCCACTCACTCTGGGAAAGGATGTGGCACGTTGAAGCGCTTGCAGAGCGTCTTGTCAGGATGCCACTGCATCACGGAGAGCGTCAGTTTACCGAACATGGCGTTGCTCGCAGCTTGCATACGCGGATCACTGCTGGCGGCAGAAGTGGAGGTGTCCTCCAATACAGACTCCTGCTTCGGCGTCAGCTGAGGATTTACCTGTACTCGCGAAAAATGTACAAATTTTATCAAGGTGCAACTGTACACGCGGAAAACGTATCAATTTTATCTCTTCGTACCTGTACTTAAGAAAAACGAAACAAATTTCAGTTAAGTTAGTCTATCGATTGTACACGAGACGTCTCGCGAGAATGAAAAACAGAATTTGAATGTGATATTTTAACTCATAATTGTGGAAAAGAAAGAGCAATTTTTTGGCCGTAAATTGGAAATAAAACCAAATGTCTGATGTTAGCAAGTGATTGCGTATTTTAGATCGTGAGGCCTCGTGTATTAATTACCCACCTTTTTAATATTCATGTTGAGGCCATCTTTCAACAACGGAGTACTCTCTCCCACAGAGCTCGAGACAAATCTGAAATTAGCAAATAGTCAAAATGAGATTAGACGGATTTGCAGGCAATATCTTGATATCACTACAATTCAAGCATTATTCTATATGTTTGAACAACCTTTCAATTAGTTATTTACAATTAGTCGCTGCCACTACATGCCAATTTCGTCTGAAGTCCAAACCAACTATCAAAATATGCTGATAGCCAGTGATAGGGAAAATTAAAAATCCTTGAAAAACACACTTGTCTTCGGTGTAAATTTTCCAGTAATTGCCCGATTGGTTAACGATATGCTTAAAAAAAATAGAAAAACGCTAATGAGACCATGTGAGGAGCTACGAGCTGACGTAAAGCAAGTATACGACGTAAGGATTAAAGGGTAAATCAAGGCCGCGTTCAATACGTTGAGCATCAAAGCGTTGCGGCAGCGCAGGCTAATGAGAGCCACACCCTCATAATAACTCGGCGGCTACAGCCTTTACTTATGCAGGTCACGGGAACAGCATCAACCTAATCCAATAAGACATGGACGAGGAATTAAAATTTCCTTTCGAGGAATTAATGAGAACGCAGGAGTAAATATGAACAATTACGGACTAATTAACCTTACAGACAAGAAACTTTACTTCAAACTAACAACGACTTTGAGATGCCTAACTAAACATTTAATTGAAAAGATCGCACCACTCTTAATGAAAGAACGATGAAAAATCATTTGAAATCGTATTTTTTCCTGTCGTTAAAAGTCTCGAACGGGCTTCATTTTTTGTCGTGACTTGCTTTATAAATCTTAAAAAAACTCCATAAAATTTTTCTGTAGTAACTAACAGCCATTTCAGTGACATTAATGAGCAATATTTACTAGCAGTTACGGCCGCTCATCAATACCATGCAGTAAGAGTAAAGTCCACGGCCCTCGTTCGTTTCAAATAACTACGTACAGCCATCCATCAGTAAGCGGCAGGCGTGAGAGCCAGCAAAACACTGGTAATAGGGGAGCTTCCCTCGCCGTATTATTCATATCTGAGTCTCGCTACAACACGGCGCTTAAAAATCAGCCTGCCGTACTTTACGTTTTTCACAGGTAAATTTTAATTCAGAGAACTGAATTTGCATTGGTCTAAAAACACTCTGAATGAAGTTTCAACAATATCACACGAAAGACTTTCCAGTAAAAGAGAAATTTTTTATTCAGACCAGTTTAAGGTTTACTAAATTCAAATGATTACGGGGAAATAACTAACCAACACGTCAATGTATCCTTTCGACGCCTCTTCATGTAATATAAGAAATATCTACCCATTTTAACCGAGACGCTTCCCAGGTGAAGACAGTAATTATCTAACAAAATTAAAATCCTAATGATAATTTCCAACAGTCAAATAAAGAATTGGAAGCAATGGCAGTTTGTGAGGTAGATCAAAAGACGATCAGACCAATTTTCAGAACACAAAAAATTTGCAAAATAATTTTTGAGTAGTTGCAGACATATGCCACGTGTAATCACTGTCTGTGGAAATATTACAGAGCTGCTTGGCTGCATTCACAGTTAAGAGTTAACGAAAATATCAGTTTACATTTACGCGAATACTAAAAGTAAGGCATTTAAGTAAGTAATAGAAAAGAGCTTTTGCTCGCGGTAAGAAAGTTTGGGAAAAGATAGCGAGCGCCGGCAGCGGTGCATCCAAGGCACGAGACAGAGAGCGCAGGCAGCGGTGCAGCTAAGGCACGAGGCAGAGAGCGCAGGCAGCGGTGCAGCTAAGGCACGAGGCAGAGAGCGCAGGCAGCGGTGCAGCTAAGGCACGAGGCAGAGAGCGCAGGCAGCGGTGCAGCTAAGGCATGTGTTTACACAGGTTCTCCGAGTGACAGGCGTCCTCAGGCATTGGCAGTTGATGAGCGCTGGGCTTTAAAGAGCATCGCCGCACTGACAAATTGACGGGAGAAATGCTGTTAACTGCCAAGCCTGATTCTCGGGCGCTGAAAGATCGCTTTGCTTTTGAGGCTACCACGGGTAACTGACATCGACGTTATGGAGTGCGTTCCTGTGTTGCAAGCTAACTGACGTTTGTCAAGAGATAGCTCGATTAATATAGCTATTGCTAATTCGGATTCTAGCACGAGAAATTAGCATCCGTTTCGAGTGCTTTCTGGTAACATTTATTCAATGAAATTCTTTCAAGCAGAAGTGAGATGCCAATGGCAAACGTCATAGAAGTTTAAACGAAAATATTAATAAAACTCGGCTACGATGCTATAGTAAGTAAGAACATTGTCTTGGTTATTATATAATACAATCTTGAAATATTTAATGATGTTTTGCAGTGGTAAAAAATCACATAGCTTTTACGCCAGGGAAGAGCGGATTATTGTCTGTATGTGAGGGATATTTTAAGGATAAATTTTTTCATCCCCTGATCAGACAACGTGTCAATTTCGACTAGACAGCATAGATCGAACAAATGATTTATTGACTGCAAGTCAACGAATGCAGACATTGGAAAGGGTCACATTTTTGACAAGTATAAAACGCATCCTTACCTTGTTGCCATAGCAAACGTAAGAGGCTTGTAGAGTAAAGCAGCGCGTTCAAATTCTTGAATTTCCCGGTCACGCTCCCACTCCGTCAAAGACGCAGGCTGCGTCTCGTTGTAACGACCTGCGCCAAATAATACACTTTAATGAATAACGTGATACTGAAAAAAAAATACAAAAAGTCCGGGGCTAGACAAAAAAGATGTCACTTATCATTCATTACTATCAATTTTTAAAGCGATAATAACGATTGTACAAATTTTAAACAAAAACTATTACTACCGCAAGCATCAGTTCAAATCTGAAGTTACACTCCTACTTACGTGCAAGCGTAAAGGTACGGTTTAATTGGCCCTGCTGTTACATGCATGCTCTGGGTGTGAATAAGAAACATACTTACTTTTAAGGCCTTTCTCGGTCATCCTGAGGAAGAGCTCGTATCTCTTCTGCTTTTGAGGATCGCTGCTGAATGGCTGATACTGAGCTCCAGCTTTCGAAGGCTGGGCCTCGTCTGAGAAAAGCTCAGGAGGAAGAGGCGATGAGACTCTTTCATCAGGAGGCGTAGAGGCTCTCACGACAGGAGGCTGTGCGCCCTTTACGCCAGTTCTCACCTGGAGAGTGAAATGGCCGGAAAAAGTAAATCATCACTGCAATATAAATTCAGCTAAGCGCTGATAAGTCACATCGTCAATAGTATCTCATTTCAAATTTTCAATTCACATCTGGTACAATTTTAGTCTGAATGTAGCCGATGGACATCAAGGGTCGTACTGTAAAAAAATAGGAAATAGGAAAACCTTCAGCCAATCACTAACGGCTTTTCAAGCCAAGCCCACCATTCAACGATGAGAAATCGGCCGCTACGTGTACTTAGACCACTACGTGTACCTAGACCGCCAAGTGTACTGTACTTAGAATGCTAAGTGTACTTAGACCGCCAAGTGTACTTAGACCGCTAAGTTACTCAAGCAAGTTGTGATAGTACGGCCCAGGAAGATAGGTTCTGACCTCGACACTAGTTTCGCTGCCCGCCATTATGCGGTAGCGGTCGTGATAAGTCAAGTCGTGGCGTCCCAGTCCGCGCTGCTCGTGACTACGACCTGAAAACCTAGGAAAATCAAGAGTGTTAGATTCAGAGCACAAATTTTAAAAGGATGTTACGTATCTTCCATTGTCAATATACGCTAATGTAATTGATTCTTTGTCCCATTAATTATTCAACAAATATGAACGCTGTGGCTTGTTTTTGAGAAGCAAGATGCTTTAACACACGGTGCTTGCATCTACCACTTTTTCGTAATCTCGCAAATGACATTAGTTTTTCTAATATTTTCGAAGTAAGATATCCAAGTTACGTCAGAGGAAGTTGAAAAATATCTTCCTTCACGAAAAGTCAAGGCAAAGTTATAAAATTCAATGATAAATGAACTCACCGTTTCCTGAGAGGTTTGTGCAGAGGCACAAACCCTGGAGGTAAAGCCGGCAAGGAAGGTTCAGCCGGAGGTGCTTCCGAGGACTTGCTTAGCACGAAACCTTCCAGAATTTCGCACACAGACCCAACCTAGGCGATACAGCAACTTAATCGTAAGGGATAACGAAAACCGGTTTCTTATAGCTAAAAAACATCTTAGAATGGAAAGTAATTTCAACCACCATCTACATTGTTTAATTACTGCAAATTCAATCATTAAATTGTCGAGAAATCTAAGAGAAGCATTTTTTTACATCGATCCTTTAAACTCACGCTGATGTTGCTGTTTGTGCTCGATGTTTTTGTAACGGCAGTTGCTGACCCACCCAATGTAAAGTTGTAGTCAGATAAGTCTTCTTGAGCATATATGTCTTCATCTTCTTCTTCAAAGGCACCGACGCCAAACGCCTAAAATATTTAGGTGCATGAGAGATACCAAGTGAATTCAGAGAACTAAAGCCAATATGAGACAACTGATGAAATTTGCGATATTCGAACAACACGTTTAACCAACCACAACTAGAAGAAATCCCGAATATAGGTAATAATTCATGCAGTTACCTGTCCTTTGATGGTCATTGTTTTCTTCTTCTCTGAGACAGAAAAAGGCTGCGATTCGCGCACTTTTCTCCCCAAGATGTTATCGCGACTCAAAGGCTTGTAACCCAATCCAAAAGTGTTGTCCTTGTTTTCTAAAACAGCTAATTGAGCAGACCCTGCTTCTTCGGGGGCAAACGTCACGTTGGAATAGCCGGCAGGCAACTCTGAGTCGGAATCCGAATTTCCGGGACCATCCACTGTTAGAAATTAAACAAAATAAACTGCGAAGTGCGGTGAATTTTCAGTCGAAATGCATTCATCATTGAAGGCATTGGAATAGAGATATCAAGTGTTTTAAATTATTAGAACAGCTACACCTTTCCAGCTCAAGAATCAATTGAAAGAGTAGCTGCCTGGGTAACTATCTTTTGACACCAGTAAGAATTGTGTGTGTTTTGTCCATTTTGGTACCGGCAACTTAGAAGTATAGTGGGTGATGACGCTGTGATCAACAAGTAAGAATTGTAAACGCACCTGCAGAAGAATGTGAAAATTTTTTGCCTTTCCTCTTCTTTTCTCGGTGTGAAAGACGCGGCCCAACTCCTTGTCCTTCTCGCCAACCCAAGCTGCGTAGGAGACGAACGCCCACACTTTTGCTGTATAAAAAAATATTAATTCACCCATTGTGAGGTTCGTCGTTGGATTTACATTAACAGAATGGTAATTTGTTATATTTAGGGCTTCAGAAATCAGAATGTTAATTTTAAAAATGATTGAGTGTATTTCAAATTACATTGGGGTTTTGATAATCAGTGTTGAGTTAATGGGAGTAGCAAACTGGGTTTTTTACATTTCATTGATAGGGTACCGGACATTAAAAATTTATCCAAATTTATCCATTGTTTCGAGAATGATTATAAAGAATACTGACATCACCTCACAACATACCAGTAATATCTTTCACTATGTTGAACAAAAATTTAATACCTTTATGACTAAGCAGTTTCTGAGCCCAGACCCTACCATGGATCAGTGGTGATGTCGAGCAGAACAGGAATTCCAGGAATTGGTCCTGTGCTGGGCATGATCCGCTTCCTCTTGCCATCACTGCTGCTGCCACCAGCATAATCTGCTATTGGTTGAAGTCGTTGCGCTGCAATGCCATGAGCACTCATGTCCTGCAAAATTTTGTTATTAGTTAATTTAAAAATGTTGCAGCATTCATCATTTCAATCACATAAAAATATCACATTTTCCAGTTACAAAAAGGAAAAAGCACCCAAGTTACTACTGCATAAGGCAGGGAATTCTCTAGCAGAAATCCAGACATCATCATTGTTCAACAGAACACTGAATTGGAGATCGTAAAACAGTTTACAAAGGTTGTAGATGTTATGAATAGACATCAGCAAAGCCATTCTGTCATTGCCAGAAAATCCAACTTTTTTTAATTCTTCAGCATTAAATGAGGTTTATGTGATAATAATTAGGTAGTGATTGTTTAACCAATTGTAACAATAAAGTTTGAATACTATGGACATGGCATTTCACATTTTCAGAGAACAAAATCAAGAGCAACAGCAATTTAAATCAGGTCTACTGTTATAAGGCATACCTATATAGCTTTACAAGATTAAAACTCACTTCTTCATCCATGAACATTTCAACATTTTGGGCCACTTTATCCTTATTTCTCTCAGATCTGGATGATGTGAATGTTGATGGAGTGAAGCCCTCCACACTACCCACTGTATTAAAGTGACCAGCAGAAAAGCCTCCGGTGAATGCACCATGGAATCTGTAAATATAAGAAACAAACCTTTTGTGAGTTTTATTGTAAATAAAGATAATTTGTGTGATAATTATGGTGCAAACATTTACATATAAAGTATAAACAATAACAATAATAACAGAGCAAACCTTTACATCAGGCCAGAAAATTGCATCAATCAAATGAAGGCTGCCATTGTCTAAGCACTGTTGGAGTACATTTTTTAATCTTTGCATCACTGAGTCACTAGTATTTCAGTGATATCATTCTACAAGGGAGTACTGAAAATTTAAGTTAACTTCACCAAACCAAAATTGAATGTATTTTAATACAGGAAGGTTTTTTAGGCTTTTTACTTCCACATCTGACAGAAATGAATGTCAAGGATGTGTAGTATCAACAACATGAAGCCATGGCCCATTACATCATCAGCCATGATAGAATTGTTTGGGAAACACTTCTCTGGCTACCTTGTCACTCCCATAGTGATAAGGGAAGGGAAAGTGTCACTCCACACCTCCCTTGAATACTCTAAAGCAGTGGTTCCCAAAGTGGGCGATATCGCCCCCCTAGGGGCGGTGGAAAGATTTTGGGGGGCGATAAGAAAGAAGAGGTCGGTAGGGGGGCGATATGGGGGGCGGCTGTCCAAAGTCAATGTCAGAAGTTCGAACATTTGTTAGACGATTTGTACACAACACGTGCAGCACATGACTCCCAGCGATGGTTTTTTTCTGTTTTTTTTTTTAACCTAGCTCTCCTGGGTTTACGTCTTGGACAAATTAACGGCCGGACTCAAGGCCGGTCTCACTGCCAATTTTCAAATTCAATGATCAAAGAATATATATCAAACTAATGAACTTAACTTGATGAAACTTGGTACACGTATTCATTAGGACCTAACGGTAATGTTTTGCTCGTGAAAATTGTTTGAATTTTGCCATCGTTCGTTTTTGCCATAGTTATATGCCAATATGGGCTGAAATTCACAGTGATCAAGTAATTTCTTCCAAACTACTGAGCAGATTCGAACGAAATTCTGAATTTACAGTCTTAACTAAAAATTTTTCGATTGTGCCTTCGTTCGCAATTTTTTTTTTTTCATTTCACCTTCATTCGTGATTTAAGCAGCAATTCGTGCTTAAATTCGCAGTAATCAAGAATTTTTTTTCCAAACTACTGAACAGATTATTATTAACTCGCAAACGAAAGCAAAATGGAAAAATTGTCACGAGCTAAACATCACTGTTGAGAGGTTATGTATTTTTATACAAAGTTTCGTTCTGTATTTTAGAAGAAATTTCTTGATCGCCGCGAATTTAAGAGACAAATTACCCGGCGATACGGGCCGAATATAAGGAAGTGTGAAATCAAGAATGACGGTGAAATGAAAAAAACTCGCAAACGAAGGTAAATCGAAAAAAAATTATAATCTAAAAAATCACCGCTTGGTAGTTAGGAATGTATATTCAAAATTTCGTTCAAATCTGTTCAATAGTTCGAAGAAATTCTTTGATCAATGCGAATTTTGGCCTGTTTCGCAATATACGCGCAACTCACGAATGAAGGTGAAATTTAAGAAATTTACAAGCTAAACATCACCGTTAGGTTCTGATGAATGCGTGTTCCAAGTTTCATAGAGCTGCGTTCATTTGTTTGGGAGATATTTGCTTGATAATTGAATTTGGAGATTGGTCGTGAGACCGGCCACGAGTCCGGCCATAAATTTGCCCATGACGTCCTTGGCTTCTAGTGCTGAAACAGTTAAAACAGCTGAAAAACATATTGGTTCACTAAATGGGGTTCTATTTGCCAAATACACATTTGTGTTTAACCTTCATCTTTTAAAATTTCAGCATACTAAATTTCAAGAGAGTGGCGTATGTCTGTGGGGGGCGCTAGAAATTCACTAGGGGGCCAAAGGGGGCGCCAGCCTGAAAAAGTTTGGGAACCACTGCTCTAAAGATTTGGCTACTTTGGTTGATTTCCAATTCTTAGTATGGCACTATTTGATGCCTATTGCCTACAACAATCAACCATGAGCAGTTTTTACACTTGATGTGTTTGACAAAGTGACGAAATATTTGACAATTCTGTCACTAAAATGAAGTTGGATGAGCTTCAGGTAAAGCTTGACACTTCAATAATATGCTCAAACAGTGCTTAGACAATGACCACAGTCTTTTGATAGATGCAATCTTCAGAGCAGCATGATAATGAAATTGGTACAGTGATCTGTGCATCCAAAATTATTTAAACTGATTTGTGGAATAGTTTTTTTGTTTTATTTTTTCCTGCTGCATCCTTTAGCTTTCATTAAAATAGTTAAGTTAATGCTAATCACAATCAAAAAAGGCTAAAAATGAGAGAGGTAACATTGATATACATATTACTTATTTGTAACAATAATATATTGGATTCATATGACTACTATAAACATGAGAAAAGAAGTAAGTATTGCTCAGACAAAACTTTGATGATTGTTTCTGGCATTTCCTGAATATCTGAGTGTAAATAAAAATAAAATGTTCCATTTTGAGAATTAAAGTACCTAAACTATGTGAATAATTATGATGTGGCAAATTATTAAGCTGGGATGAGGATGTTATAAGATTGTAGAAACTCACCGTCGCCTTCCTTGCTTATCTGCGACAGTTTGGTCCTCCAGTCTAGGGGCTTTCTTTGCAACAATGTCATCTGAAAAAATTACATGAATAGAATTAATTAATCTAGCTTAAAATTTTGTATCCTAATTAAATTTTGTATCCTCAAAATAATTAAACTTCACTAATATTTTCTAATGAGATTATGAATTAAAACTATTAGTCCACTTCATACCATTTTATAAAACATAGCAGTACCACAGTAACACTTATTATTTTTATGGCTTTGTGATAATTTTTATCACTTTAAAATAATTTAAAATTAAAAAAAATTATTAGAAGAAGTCTGCTGTGTAATAAGACTGGTTTGAGAAAATAGATGTTTTTTAGCTAATTTTCTACTTATTTCTATAAATTTTAAACTTTATTAACAATTACAATGCACTATGCAAACAGTTGGTCCTAAAATGATAAAATATTTACAGTCCAAAAGTATGAATGACGACTTCTTACAAAAATTTGGCTGCTTCATAGTCACATATTTCAAGTGAATTTTAAACCTCCTTGTTTAACCATGTAAATTTATTCCCAAATAGGATAGGAAATAACTAATCTAGCCAAAATCAGGTTTTTTCCAAAAATGGCATTAAACTCAAGTCAGACTCACTGTCTCAGAGCTCAAAAAATAATAGGCATTTTTCATATTAGTTGCAAGTTCCCATCTAGAAGTTTGAAAAACTGATGGAGTTTCCCAAAAATTACATACTATATGAGCTATAATTGCACAGAAAATTTGAAAAAATTACAGGCAAAATTATGCTGCTTTGTTTTTTCAACTAGCTATTGAAATGTGTTAAATTGTCTACAAGCAGACATTTTTAGTGTATTTTCTCATTTATGGAAAAAATGCACTATTGTGCTTGCCATGTCCATCCATCTGTCTGTCTGTCTGTCCATCCGTGACCTCAAGTTTTTGTCGACGAGAAAATGCGCTCTCTGTCACTCACTGCAGTCTGCACTCTGCTGTGAGTACCAAGTTAAATTTTTTCCTCATTCCTAGGCTAGAATCCCAGGTGGCTACTGCAGTTCTGCTTGATTTTCCAGTTTTGGTTGCAATATACTAATTCTTCAAAAGTTCAGAATCAGCTTTCATCATTTTGAAAATAATTTTTTGTGTTTTGATTCACAAATTTTCACATCATCATTCACATTTGAAGTTCAGAGGATCTGGACAGTGGAGTGAGTGGAGTCAGTGGACAATATAAAATAAACAGCAACACATGTTTATATAAATACTTAAGTAAGGAAAAAATTTTTGACTGCAGTTTTTGAAGCACTAAGTTTAAAATTTTGATTTATTTAAATAAAAATATATCGTCAAACTTACTTTCATCCAATTGAGCAACAGCAGTGCCATAAAAAGCAAAATCGTCTTCGTCATCACTCATAATTGAGAATTTGCTTAACCGATTGTGCGCACTGTTAATTAATAATGGGCGGTGGTAGTCGATCCGATTTTAAAGATATGAAGTCGTCCACCATGTAGGACCACACGCACACGGCTCAAGTCATCAAGTTAAGTGAAGATCAAGATTCCCGAAAAATGTATCCGGAAGTACGTAAACAAGAAGAAATCCGTTCTACCGGAAAATGCTGAAAGAAATTGGTTTGGATTTGGAACGTGGTGACTGAAAAAGGACATTCCAGAATCAGGCCTTGCCGCCTTCACAACGGCCGTAAGCCACGCATTGCATATTGATGCGTGGACATAGACTTCAAAATAAATTTTAATTAAAAAAAACACACTGGAATCTTACCGTGACCGAAAGGTTAAAGGAACATCTATCCTAATATGTCTAGAATAGAATAGAAGTGTCGGCATTGAAGAAAATAGGCCCATGGCCTGTTGCCGATTCCAGAATTTTTCGTGACTTGATTCACAAGGGATCCGGCCTTTGTAACCCGATCTTTTCATAACTGACGATTGATTGAGATAGCTGCTGGACTTAGTGCCTGGTCCGTAATTTGCTATTCATTTTAAGACTGAACTTGTGCTCCTGCATAGCTTCGTCTAGTCGGTTTTTGAAGGCGTTCAACCGTTCATACTCGGAGCGCCAACGATGCTGTCAGGTAGGCTGTTCCACATGTCGGTGACTCGAAGCGAGAAGAAGTTTTGTCGCTTGGATGTGTTATAACGCAGTTTTTTTAGTTTATAGCCGTGGACCCTGGTGTTGGTTCTAGTTTCAAATTCTAGTAATCCTTCTGGGACCTTGTATAAGCCATGAGTATACTTGTATGCTTCAATTTTACCGAAATTTAGTAGAGAGTGTTCAAAGACGCGCAACAAGAATAGTTCCGGGCTTGAAAGGCAAGTCCTATGAGGAAAGATTAAAGATTATGAAGCTTCCAAGCCTCAGTTATCGACGTCTGCGTGGGGACCTCATTGAAGTACTGTATACAAGTATACTCATGACTTATACAAGGTCCCAGAAGGATTACTAGAATTTGAAACAAGAACCAACACCAGGGGCCACGGCTATAAACTAAAAAAACAGCGTTGGAACACATCCATGCGACAACATTTCTTCTCGCTTCGAGTCACTGACATGTGGAACAGCCTACCTGATAGCATCGTTGACGCTCCGAGTATGAACATCTTCAAAAACAGACTAGACGAAGCTATGCAGGAGCATATTTTCAGTCTTAAAATGCATAGCAAATTACGGAACAGACAATAAGTCCAGCAGCTATCTCAATCAATCGTCAGCTATGGAAAGATCGGGTTCCAGAGGCCGGATCCCTTGTGAATCAAGTCACAAAAAGTTCAAGAATCGGCAACAGGCCATGGGCCTATTTCTTAAGCGCCGACACTTCTATTCTATTCTATTCTATAATGAGGTCCCCACGCAGACGTCGATAACTGAGGCTTGGAAACTTCATAATATTTAATCTTTCCTCACAGGACTTTCCCTTCAAGCTCGGAACTATCCTTGTTGCGCGTCTTTGAATACTCTCTATTAAATTTCTGTCCTTTTTCAAATTTCGGTGACCACACGACGTTTCCAAACTCTAGGTTCGGGCGCACGACAGCAACAAATAATTAGTCTGCTCTTGTGAGCGCTCTGCCAAAACCTTGTATAAACCTCGAGAATACTCATTTACCGCACCGAGATCGCCACGTAGACGGCAATATCATAGACTAAAAAACTTCATCTTCATAAGTACTTCTATCATTAGTCTGCTTATATCGCAAGTTCACAAGGAATTTAAAAGCAAAGAAAAGGCCAAGAAAATTCACCATATCGATATTGAAAACGTTTCGGAGTCCAGCTCCATCATCAGTTCGACTAAACTAAAAATGAATAAATTTCAAAATTGGTTCTTTCTTCAGGTATAAGGACGTTATTCCTGCTCGGATGCGATCAAACCGGTCTATGAGTTCTGTTGTGCACGCTGTGCATCTACGTACGTTGGAATGACGTCGCGTAACTTCTACATCCGGGTTTCTGAACACCGTGGCAGGAGCTATCGTTCTAACTTGCCTCTCGCCAAGCCTCCTCATTCTTCCGTGCGCCTCCATGCTGAACAGTGCGACGTGGCTGTATCTGAGAGTGATTTCAGGATACTCCGTTCCACTTCTGGCTGCTCGGATTTGAGAATTTTGGAGTCTCTACATATCTTCAAACGAAAACCATGTCTCAATAATGCGTTTAGCTCATATAATCTGGAAATAGTAAATCGCTAGGATTATATATTCATGTCGTACCCCTAGGACTAAGTTGTTCATAACTAGTCCTGTTTATTTCGATATAATGTTAGGTCTTGTTTAGGTTTTATGTTTGTCTTTGAATTTTGACTTTTAAAGTGATTTTATTCATTTTTAGTTTAGTTGAACTGATGATGGAGCTGGACTCCGAAACGTTTTCAATATCGATATGGTGAATTTTCTTGGCCTTTTCTTTGCTTTTAAATTCCTTGTGAACTTCATCTTCAATCTTATAAACGTTTTCATGAAGTTTGCCATCAGGAATCATCATTAGAAAATCGTTGCTTGCTTTTAAACACTCTCGACTAAATTTTTGTCGTTTTTAAGTTTCGGTGGATAAACGATGGTTCCAAATTTCAGGTTTGGCCGCAAACGTTAGCTTTCGAGTTTATGCATCGAAGCATTCGTAAGAATGTCTAATCATTCCCATTAGACAAAATTCATTTTACTAACTTGCATTTCAATATGTTTGTACAACGTCACGTCTTTTGTTAACGTGCACTCCAAAAGTTTATTATACGGTCGTCTCCTCATGAATAGCTAACATCAGTAACGTGCACCTACTACACATCGACTTCACCAATAATACTACCAAAAGCATACTGCAGCTCTACACTTCTTAACATCGCATTCACTGTATTATAAATTTGTGTAGCGTCATCGCAAATTCAGTGAGAACAATCTTGGCTCTGCTTCGTGTATTTCTTTCATAAACATAACGAATAAAACTGAACTGGAAACGCTTTTCTTTGGCTCACAGCTGCCCATTCTGACACTGAACCGTTTAAGTCTTGGTTTGAGATCTGTGATCCATTAGAGTACATTTCATTCGGAGGACTGCAAGTTGAAGCAAGTTCTGAAAGTCCACCAACCATAACCATGTCCAGGTGTCATAGTTGGCCTGAAGTGAGGTCATCTCTATACCATCAACCAGACACCAACACCATTTCATTCGGCTCCTAATAACTCACTTTTCGCTCACGCAGGACAATGCCAAACGCTTACACGAAATGATGGTGGATCCACGCATCCACTGGATCCCATTCTGCTAGCCGGTGAGTCGTTTCAAGTAAACGTGATCTTAACGCTACAAGACAATACCAACAATAAAATGGGGCCGCATGGCCAGCTATATCTACTTCCCACTTTAGTTCATATTACTTCTCGTGGAGGACCTAGCAGCCTATTAAGTCAAGTGCTTTAAAGCAAGGCGCTGTGTGGCCACAATCACAGCTTAAGCATCCTAAAGTTAAGCATAGAATAGAATAGAAGTGTCGGCGTTGCAGAAATAGGCCCATGGCCTGTTGCATGGTCAATCGGTCATACTGCATCTGGCCTAACCTACTCCGGCCTAGCCTACTCAAGCTGTAACATTTCTTCAAGCCAAACAAACCTGAGCGGACCTAACCTAACCTCGTAAGTTGCAGGAAGTTTGAGTGGCAGATCAAGTGAGCAGGTAGAGCCAGTCGATGGATGGAAGAAGGTGGCGAGTTGCGTCGCATAAGTCACTTTCTAATCGGGCGGCAAATTCCGTTCGTGGTAGAAAGGTAAAAATATAGGTCGAGGAATGGCAAGCATTGTCGCAATCTCTTCTAGTAGTTTGGGTTGGAAGCCGTAAGATCCACATGGCTCTTCAGAGCAATCAGAAGCTCGAGTACTTCTTTTTGTACTTCAAAGTTTGTTAACCTTGAGCCTAGTGACCTCGGGTCACGAGACTGATAATACTTACCAACTCCTCGTCTAAAATTGTTTTAAGTAATAGAGGAGTGACTTTCAGTTCTAAAAACATTTGTTGAATGATACACAGGTGTCAACGAAGTACGTTTAGTTGTGCTGTTCGTGGAACAGTTTACTATGAGCTAGTTTGAGCCTTACAAGTAGTCTATGCAAAAAGTATATCGTGAAACATCAAATTAAAATGATGTGGCTAAAGCATAGTCAGTGATCACTATAGAAATTTAGAAATCGAATAATGTATTTATAGTTAAAAAATCCAATGCATATTATAGCAATAAAGTCGATACGATTACATCACCAATTGAAATGGGCGTAATAGTTCAATATAATTATAATTGACAATGTATTGAAGACGCTGATGTTGGAGACGAGGGACGGTCATTGACAACATTAATTTAACATTAAATCCCCCATAGACATTCACGGAATGCATTTTATAATCATTACTTGAATCTATTCGAGTTTCATGGTAAAAGCGAACTATTAAGGGTGTTGAAATATATTACTTCAACACTTTTCATACTTAAATATACTGAGGTGAAGAAATAGATGGAAAACTATGCTGTAAATGATGAACAATAGATGATCAGACCACAAACAGCAATTCTCCAAAAAGTACGTAGCCTACCCAGTTACTATTCAAATACGATTTAATTCTACAGTAGTACATATAATCTTAGTTATTAAGCAATTGTACTCCGAACATATTGCGCTCACTGTCAAACATACAAACCAAAGAAATTACTTCACGTCAAGAAGAAAGAATTAACCGTGCGTTCAGTAAAGGAATCAGATCCACAAAGTTTGGCCGATAAGATAATGAAATTAAGTATTGTAATGGTTGCTGACTGTCATATCAAAAATGGCTCATCAATTACCCGATTTCACTCGCCTTCTCAGGTCGCGAACCCAGTTCATGGTCACGCAAACACGAGTTTTGCCGGAGATCAAAAGTTTTACCCAAGACTTCTTCATATAAGCTCGGCGACTTTTTCTTATGGTGAAACGGTTGAGTGCTGCTCATGGTGTATCTACGGCCTCCGCCTCCTGTTACGTGGAAAAGTGTGGCGCCATGCATTGGCGCTCCGTGATGAATAACATCGTAAGTATTTGTCCTCTTCAAAGAGTGAGCGCAGGCGCGGGTTTGAAGGTGTGGCGGAGGCAACGAAGTTACGCTTCTTCTCAAATCCACCAGAGTCCTAGAACAGCAAACTTTCCTTCCCCTGACTAAGTTAGGGATCTTAGCACCGTCTGCAGCTGATGATTGTAATGAGATATCGGAGTTGAGGTGCCTCGATGCGCACGCAGCACAATCTCCACGGGGTACTTGCAAACTTTTTCTGCGGACGCGAGACCTACCAGTTATAAGTTGGCAACGATTGTCGTTTAGTTTTGAGTTTCTCATTTTCAGAGATTCGAGATTTGAAGAAATCCCATCGGGATGCCCATCGTTTTCAATTTCTTTGCGGTTGCAGGTTTCTTCCCGTCGCTTCCTCAAGTAACAGAAGAACATGAGGCAGCTGCCAATAACGCAACAAGTGATCTCGCTCAGCAGGACTAATGAATAACCTCCGCTGAAGTCGATGATGAGACCTAAAAAAAGGTACAATTAAAATCTGGCACAAGTAAATGAAGTAATACACCGAAACGTGATGAATCTTCGACGTACAAATAGAATAATGAGAAAATTTTTCGTTTAAAAACTAGCAAAACGCTCTTTAATGACTTCAAACTGAGCTGGAACCACATAAATATATGTAGCTCGATTATAACTTTCTCAGCTCACCAGCTAGAGGAGATCCGACAAGAGCTCCTATTCCGGCTAAGAAGACAGTTAGTCCGAAAACTTGTGCGAGGCTTTGCCTGCCGAACAAAATTTTTGGCGTGATTGCGAAGTACATGTTCTGGGCGCCGAACATTATTCCGTAACATGCCATTGTTGCCACGAATACTAAGCCGTTAGAGATGAAGTGGAACAGACCAAGCAGCCCGGCTGATAGTAGCATAGAGATGGCATAGAGCACCGTGGTATTACCGACCTGCGATAAGAAATAATTAAACACCTTTACAGTTGCATATCTATAAAATGAGTGTATCTAAGTATTCGATAAAATGGTCTCGAGTAAGAATTTGCTAATTCTCATTGAACGCGTTATTGATCGATCAATCGATCAGAAGACACGAACATCATTTCTGAACAATGAGCTTAGGAACAACACTACTCAAGTGCTAAAAATTTTACCCTCATCTTAAACTTTGCCCATATTTCTTTCGAATCTAAGTTTCCTTTTTTAATACATGGGAAAAAACATCTCCCGATGCTTTTGAATACCTATATTTAGGGCTCACCTTTCCAACGGCCAGCATTCCACCGCAAAATCTACCGATGATGTCACCGATGCCTGCAGCGCTCATTGCTGTGGATGAAAAGCTTCCTACCCCGGCGTTTCTTGCAAAATCAGTGAAGATGACGTAGATGGTAAGGGTGCCGAGATAACAGAAGAAATACGAGAAAGCGAAACACCACACGCTTGGATTGCTGAAGACTGCGTCCGTTGAAAAACTGGAAAACGTAGAGGATAATTTGTCAGATCATTGCAATGCTGATCTCCACCGAATTATTTTGTTGTAAACACTGAATTTAGTTGGAATTTTTCTGATAGCATGCATGAATTCGACCATCAATTTAACAATATATATCGAAAATTAGGACAGCAAGCATGTTCATCGTGATTTAGCGAATATTTACTATATCACTACTATCAAACCCCTAAGACAGAGAAGCAAATTGGTGTTTGAAACAATTAGCAAATGAGATATGATCCTAAAATAGATATGATGGGCATTTCCTCACCAGAAAGGTGTACAGGATGTCCGCAGGCTCCGGAAATTCTTTTTCAGTCTCGCAATCAAGGTCTCTGAACGGACAGTTACTGACCCAACCTGTTACAATGTAGGAAACTTTTATTATATTTACAACGAGGAAGCAGCGTGCGATGGAACATTTTCATTTGCGAAAATCAAGACACCAAATATAAATAATTTAATTAATCATATTCGAATCGATAAGTGGTGAAACTGACTTATCAAACATGCAGATAACATTAATATCTGACGGTCTTTACATGATATAACATTAAACACACCTTATCACATATACATGAGACTGTAAATTAAATGCTTCTGCAGTAACACATTTTCCATGACTAAAATATCAATTCAAGGACTAGAGAGAGCTTGTTTCCACAGATGTAGCAAAACTCACATCCGAAGAGGCTGATTCTGTATCATCACTCCCATAGTCACCATCGTCGTCTTCAGAGTCTCCTCCGCTGATGAGAAACGATGCTTTCTTTTCAGAGGTGTTCACTTTGTCGGGTACATTATTATGAGCAATCGACTCCGTGGTCAAGACACCATCCATCTTTTCTGATTCTATTTTAGAAGAAGATCGTTGTTCTAAATAACATTTTTCGTTCATAAGCTCACACTTTTCAGACGCTAGCTGAAGACTACAGGAATTGGATTCGCCGTGGCGAAGTTTTTCCTTTGACCCATCTTCGCTGCTACTAGTTTTTTCTTCTTCTAAAAGATCGTCCAGTTTCGAACAAAGCTTCTCGGTTTCTTCAAGCTGGCTGCTGGTGGGAAGGCGAAGTGAAAAGCTGTGAGGGTTCGACTTAATGCCCTGGAACATTAGATCCAATCTGGAATCCTTGAGAGAAATCCTGCTGTGCTGTGAAGACCTGGAAAAAGTTTTAAATAAATTCTAAAGCAAGGAAATAATCTATATTACTTTAAGAATTCCGTTTTTAAAAAAAACTTTACTTTTTAACCTGTAGCGTTCAGATGATAACATTTTTTTACTTTTTTCACAGGACTTTTTTTTAGTAGAGTAACTTTTAGTCTTAGCTGTAGACAACATAATATAACACAGAAAATTGAAAAATGACGCCGTAACTTTTTTAATAGTTAATTACAAACCCAGATAATAATCACAATAATATAAGCAATAATAATTACAAACCCTGATAATAATCACACAAATAATTTCGAGACTCATCGCTCACCTTGCAGCCAGCGAAACTTGAGCTGAGGACAGCTTGCTGCTGAAACTGAACTGACTTCGTCTGTGGAAAATAATTTTTTTTCACTTTGTAAAATTTTGGAAACAAGATGCCTAAAAACGGTACAAGGTTATTATACCAAGTACACCAATCATACATTTTTCTGCTGTTTAATTTTCAATGAATCTTTCTGGTGCAGACATCTGCTAGTGCCGACGCGAGTAGAAATTGACAGTATGACAATTGCAGGAAAATGGCATTAGCTCTATCATGATGGCCACACTTGAATTGAGAAAGACACTTGGACTTGAGGCGTTAATTATCTCCACTGTTACACATCGCAATAACTTTAAGGCTACACGACCGTACCGAACTTATAGTTGAGATTTACTCTAGAAGTATCCTACAAATTTAAAAATTATTTAAAAGACACACATAGTAAATAAAACCAATGAAAATCGTTCGATCGGACTAATAATTAACCTGGCACTCTACAACATGAATTATATTGCTAGCCCACCTGAAAAATGCAGGCAAGAAAGAAGAACCTCGAGATAAAAGGCTGTCGTTGCGCGTGAACTCATCGTCGGGATGTCGCGCCAGACGAGACTTGGATCTGTGACCGCATGACGCGCTGCATGGCCAATAAATTTATAAAATAAGAAACAATATTATAGGATTGACAAAAATAATTAATTAAAATTGTTATTACATTGTTATTCAAATTTGTAACGTTGCCAGTGATGTAGTTATATTACATTTTCACTCGTTGTTGTTGATGATGTCAAAAAATTTTCCATTTCTATCTTTATTCCATGCATATGCAGAATTAAATCTGTAGAGGTTTTAGTTCAACGGTGGTCATGATAACATACAATGCTACGACAATGATGACGTACGTCGGTTCACCAGTGATGATTATGCTTTAATTATGAAGATGCCATAATAATAATGATGCAACAATAATGATCATACTATTCTTATGATTCAATGATTATTATTGACCTATGATTGTAGTGGTGTCGGCAGGTGTTGACAGACGACGATCTGCGGTCGAGGCTCGCTAGAGAATGAGACAAGTAACCCGCTTGTGGTGACAGCACCAGTGACGAAAACGACCTGAAATACGAGAGACCATCGATAAGCAGCTAGTTTCACTGTTACGACCTGAAATACGAGAATCATCGATGAGCTCCATGATTCACGGTTACAACCTGAAATGCGAGGGAATATCTATAAGCTTCAAGTTTCACAGTTACAACCTGAAATGTGAGGGAATATCTATAAGCTTCAAGTTTCACAGTTACAACCTGAAATGTGAGGGAATATCTATAAGCTTCAAGTTCTACGGTTACGACCTGAAATACGAGGGACCATCTATAAGCTCCTAGTTTCACGGTTACGACCTGAAATACGAGGGACTATCGATAATATCCAAGTTCCCCGGTGCATCAAGTCTGGCTGCCGGAACGGTCCGTGGGCCACGTACGGAATAGTATAACATTATAAGTTGAAAACTAAAAACAGATGCCAACGTAATTTATTAAGAAATAGTATTACAGGAAAGATAACTACAAATATCGCCAGTAGTGATTCCAGATAATTATTGTATTGATTTAATTTGATGGGTAATTGAAACGGATTGTTATGCTAACTTTGAGAACTTGTTAACATCACTTTGATCAATGAAAAACTGCAGCATCATCGTTAGAGCGCGATGTCGTTCACGTTTATGGAAACAAAGCGAAACAATTGGCGAAACAAACAATAAATTGGTATAATATAATTTTAGTAACAATAAATTTACAGATAACTACGCTTTCACTTCATGGAGCAAATATTTCATAGCATTCACAACTTCATACGAGTGTAAATGACTAAAGATAACCGTTGTAGATTTGAATTCTCACTTGTCGAGGAGTTCTGTTCGGTAGTACGGATGGTGGCAGATACGATGAGAGTTACGTTCACGTGCTTTCCGTCTCTTCTTACTATCGTTCTTGGCGACTTTCTTCCCACAATTATCTTCATTCTCCGATGACTCATTTTCTGACACAATTCTGTGATCGCTTGTCCTCGGGTTCTCAGCGTCTTCTGCTGTCCCAATAACGTAAATTGCATAACATCAAAATGCTGATGCATTCCCAGTAGAATATAATTGCAACAAAACGCATGAAAAACTTACTTCAAAGTAAAACTTTGGGCAAAATAATGAATTTGGCCCCAAGTGCTGACTGTAAACCTAATAATCAAAACAAATTTCATAATTATACTAGAATGCCGCTATTTTTTCCCGTTTGACTTTAGTCAATCAATTAGCACTTTAATAAATTATAGGTACGTTAAGAAAAATGACTGTAACCAGGCTACTCGCAGTTTACCCGAGGGAGGCTGTAGCAGTGCAGAGGGCGGCAGTGGGCAGAACAAGGCTCCAGCTACGCACAACTGCAGCGAGATGCCCGCACACACGATGAAAGACAGGCGCCAGCCATACGCCATGATCACTTGCTCCATCACTTGCGACTACGAATATAACATATTCGCGTCATATATAAATATATTCGTAACAAATCCTAGATCTATAAAAAACATATTTTATTTCGATTATTGAATGATATGTTTTACTTAAGAAATATAACACGTACTCCTGATAATATTTTACACCGGACGAAACGATTTACCCGAATTTTGGGTTAAGTATGATCATTGCAATGATCAATTTGGCATAAGTAAGAGTTAGAGAAGCTGCAATAAGTAATTTTACAAATTAATAGTTTTTATGTAACATACTGGAATTTATTTTTTATTTGTTACCGACGAACAATAGTAATTGTAAAAGCTTTATAGAGCTCAAAATTATTCTGAGCCACGGCTGCTGAAGCACTAGGAAAATTTACGTTAACTAAGATCAGATAAAAACTCGCAAAGGCAGCGACAAATTAAAATCCTTAATTGTTACTGGGACATCTTAATTGTACTGAGATGAATAGATTAATTAATTTTTCCGCAGCGCCCTAAATTGTATACAATGATTTTGAAATGAAAGAGCTACAGACTCATCCAAAGACAAAGATGGCACGTCAAGTTCGCTGCACTGCCTCGACATGAATATTATGTTATGGTCTAATATCTAACATAAGTCTTTAGATAATTAAATCTAATTTCTAAGTGCGTCGTAGCAAGGCCTCCCTTGTGTGATAGTTTCGCATGCAATGCACGCTCTGTGCGAGCAACCTTGGGTCTCAATGCACTACTACAATTGGGCCTCAATGCTGAACTCCTAAGCATTTTAGTGTTGCATTGTCATTTTGGTTTTCCATATCCATGAAAATTTATGGAAAAGTAGTATGTATAGTAATGGTGATTTTTGCGCAGGAATGTCGTCTCACACATCCCGGTGGCGGAACAACACAAAACAAATCAATAATTACTAACGGAAATATTCACGATGTTCACTTACTTAAAACGATCATGATCATTGAAGCAGCTGATAAAGTTGAAGAGTAAATATATTGAATTGATCGTTATAGAAAATAAAGAAGCCTAAACACCGAAAACATTATTTAAGGAATTCGTACAGCCATCCTGTTTCTTTGAAAATTTTCATATCAGTTTTTTCGAAACATCGAACATTATTTTTTCCAATATATCACGTCCAATATATTGAAAAAATAATAAGAAAATAACCGATCTTTGTCTTCAATCAAACTTGTTGAAAAGAACAAATTCTGCCGCCCTGTACAAGTATCATGTTGTGTGAAGTCAAGATAAAGTGGACCCACGGTTATATTCAGCATCAATGCCAGACTTATAATTGAGCCTGACTTTGTGAGAATAGAGAAGTGTTTTACAGTGCAATGAATTTGTGATTGGTCACGTATACACTACCGTTACGCAGGCATTAAGACAAAATAAGTAACAGTGCAACATTCGCGCTAGTAAAAAGAGCAAATTATGTTCAACAATAATGTGCTACTGTGAATTCTCAAAAGAATTAAATACTTATATGGCCTAATTGAAAATGTTAGGTGCTTTAATATTTATCTCATTTGTAATATTAATGCAATAGCAATAACGACGTCGGCGTTGATTAAGCCAAATTTGGCCCGTCGCCGATTTTAGACATCATAGAATTTTTGCAGCTGCTGGAACTTTGAAACCGTAACTCAGTTCTTCATTGTTGCTTTCCTTAATCACTTAGACCTCCGATAGATCTCGATCGAAACTTTTACAGCCAGCTAGAGTCAAACCCACGTCTCACTGACTCACTAATATTGCTCTCAGCTTAAACCACTCTACCTAGCAGATATATTATAAATATTTCGTAAAAATTTAATTTTAAATATAGTAAAAGTTTTACATTTACATTTACATAGAGAAAATTAATTAACAATTTAGATTAAATTCTTACCAATACGAGAACGCCGAGTCCGTTGCCGAGCATGGCAATGGTGGTGGCGAGGCAGTGGCGTTTGTCGAAGTATTGAGCCAAAACCAGGACAGCCGCAGAGAAAACCAAGTTCATTCCAGAAGCTGAGTGAAACAGAGACACCCAGAAATCAACTAGAGGGATTACAATATAAGTGAGAGAATAAATTCTTGTCAGAATCGTTAATTTGACCGAATATCAGAAAATGTTTTGAGTTTCTATACAGCGCTTGATTGCGAGAGGAGGGAACACAAAGAACACAAGAAGTGATTTAAACGCAAAATGAAAATTTTGTAGACGGAACAAATTATGACTATATGCCGAATTATTCTTCAAATTATGTAGAACGAATACCAGGATTGAAATTAGAATTCAAAACGTGAAACGGAGAAAAACTTAAACCCCATAAAGAAAGAATCAAGACTATTGAGCTGGAGCAAAATTCTGGTGTTCGATTTACACTGAACTAGCCGATCAATTTTGAGTTTAAAAATGTAGTTCATGGAACTATAGAATAGAGAGCAGAGTGAAAAATCTAACACTACCTTCATTCAAGCCACTATCTGCTTGTTGAACATCTAATGAAAGACGAATACATATTCATAATAAACATATAAGATATTCACGAAGTTAAAAAAACTGAGAAGCCATTCCGTATTTGATCTTTTCTGAAAAAGAGCATCATTTCTTCAGCATTTTAACTTGAATTACAGTGATCTCATACAAACAAACGAAATGGGACCGACCGGCGACCACAGCAACAAACAACCAATAATTATTGAAATGGGTTAATAAATAGCTATCATGCTGAAATTTGATCAAAGTGTAATGTTCCCTAAGACTTTGACATTTGAGAATGCATCAAACTCTTTAATCACCAACATTCACTAAGAAAATATGATACCTTATCCCGATACTGAGTTATTGAAACACTTATTATGACTACTTATTTCCACATCATTGATAAAACCAAAAATTTGTGCTGCTGTAAATGCAAGTATCAACTTAAAAAATTTGCAAGACTTTTAATAGAAAAATATTAAAATAAAATAATTGAATCTCATGCGGGAGTACCAATGAAAAAAAAAATAATTTATCGAAAAAACATCCATACCGAAGTGAAACAAAAGCCAACGAGACACCAGAAAATCAGGTCAGATAGGGGCGGTACTCGCAAGAAAGATTCTTCAATGTGCAACAAAGTTAAAAAAAAAACTCTGGGTATACGGTGATGTAAAAACTGTACCGAGGACTGGAGAAGCTGAAATTGGGTGATGAAAGAGCAGGAATAGCAGAAATATATTCAATAGTCAATAAATTTCAAGGTCATTTGAAAAATTGCATATTTCATGCGTCTAAATATTACAGAAACTGGCACGCATTTCAATGCAAAATATTCTCTGTACCCACGCAATATTGATTCTGTAAAATTAAGGGGACGAAGTACAGATTCCTCCATATTAGTTGTAATTCATTTGCAACTTGAATTTCAAAATCACGCTTTAAATTCACGGAAACTTTAAATTCGTCACTCAATATCATCAAAGCAAAAAAAAACATACTTCGTGTGGAAGGGAATTTAAATTAAGTCACATATTTTTAATTGTACAATCCTGATACACACCTTGCAACCGGAACGTCGGTTGACAGCTTTCTTACAGCAACAAACCTGTCCAATTGCTTGTCAGTAGTGCGATACTGTGAGTGTATTTACTGTTCAATGTGAACGGTATTGCAAAAACCATGAGAATATAAAGCAATCTAGTCCGATGTGAGTCTGGTTCATGAAATAATAGTTCACCATTGGGAGTTGGCACTGTTTTACTTTTACTGCTATGACTGACTCGGAAAGGCTGAGCCAACAGCAGGCAATGACGAGGCCTGATCACTTTATGACTTTATTACTCATGTGTGTTCTCAAGCTTACATTCTTCTTGACCATTAAATTGCGTGATCAATTGTAAAGTCATTTTGACAAATTTAATCTAGTCGTTAATCTCTATCAATCTGATCAAAGGTTTTTGTAAGTCTGATTCAAATTTTTGGAATTCGCAGACATTTTGAAACAATGCGACTCAGAGTCGTTCATAGGAAGTGAGGTTAGTTGAATTGCCCTTCATTTATGTAGCCTGGGAAATCTGGAAGAGATATTGGAAATCGCTTCACATGATGAATGCTTCTAACGCAGCTGCACCCTCACGGCTCACCACTGAATATATCATTACCTGAAAAGATGAATTCAGATGAACATCAATAAAATATGGCATGTTACCCTGTAAAAGAGGACATTAAGATTGGTACAAAAGACTTACTTATTAATGAGTTATTATTTCCGATTAGGTATGAAAAATCTCACTCTCGGTATCATTGAGAGCCCCAGGTGAAGCTTTCCCGTTGCAATAAGTATTTATGAATTGAGTCGAAAAAAGTACTGAGAATACTGTACGCAGAATAATCAGTCTTCTAGAGCATGAGACACCAATCATCAAAATAGAATCACTGCAATACCATAAAGGACACAAACATTCCTAAAACACTCACCAGTTATAACTCCGTAAGTGATGAAAACAGTTTGCAGGGTTGGGGCGAATGCCGACGCTAGGTAACCTCCGGTCATGACAAGGGAACCCAACATGGCGGCTACGCGACAGCTATACTTCTGGATGAGAGCCGAACTTGCCATGCCTATAATAGTGAGTGATAGTTTATCATATTATTATACCATGGCATGATAAACCTATGGACTGAAAAATACTAAAGAAAATTAATATATTAGAAGTTCAGAGTGCATTAATAGTATTTCAATATTTCACAAATTATTTCATGCAAAGATTACGATCGATTTATACCTGACAATTTTGAGGACCGGTTACTTGTGACATTGACACGATTTGAGTTACAATTTTGCATTATTTATGTTTGAAGTCGTACTAATTTCCAATCATATTAAATTTATAACGATGAGTCACCTCAATCACGAATCCTAACACGAAACTGGCAAGATGTAGGTATGAAAATGAGTACTTTTATAATGGCCGATATTGTTGTACTAAAAAATTACAATTATTCCAGTTAATTGTAATGTGGACGGTCCAACAATGAAAAATTTGATTCTATCGCTTGATATCTTCCGGGTTTATTGTTTAAAAATTCACATGGACACACTCACTGCCGAGTAGGAAGAATCCATTGACAAGCGATCCAATCCAGGCGGTGTAGCTTCGTGATTCTCCAAATTCCTTCAGCATTTCGGTGTAATATAACGAACAAGTGAACAGCAAACCTGTGTAAACAAAATGTAATGGGCTGTGGTAACCAAGATGTTTTAAGTAATAAGTTCATTTTAATGCAATAAATCGAATCAAATATCATCTCGAAATTTGCATCTCTTTGTTAATCATGAAACAAATGAACAGAAATATTTCTAAACATTTAATATCTATCATGGTGTGACATACTGTAGCATCCGTTGGAGTAAATCCTTTTTCGTTTTACCTGACAAAATACCAAACGAAATGAGGACTCCAACAGCAACAACCCAGGCATATCCTCGGTCGACGTCCGGGTGTGGCTTGTATTTTGGTGCAACTTTAATGTTTGATTCATAAATTATTCCGCCAGTTTTGAGTTTTTCTTTTTCAATGTCATCTCCCGCATCTGCATTACAGTGACATGACTGACATCTGCTGGAGACTTCGTTGTGAGTCGCAATTCTTGACGGCATTCCAGGTTTGTCATTCGGTGACTTCCAGTGGAACGACCCCAAATGATCCAATGCAGGAAAGTTTGGTACGCTGATTTTCAAATTCGGCTGATTCAAATTTAAATTGACATTCAGGAAACTAACTTTGTCCCAAGATGGAGAGTCAAAAGATTTCGTTTTACTTCCATCGTGGTGTAGTGTTGTTACTTCACGAAGACAATCTTCTGCCTGAAAGTAAATGGTGTTGACGTAATATAATTTTTGGTCATCTAAGTCAGTGTTTGCACAGGAAACAGTCAATTTAGTGCTAAAATAGATGCATAGATTGGTAGTCATAGGAAAGATTTATTTGAAAAATAAAAGACTGCATTAAAATTTATTTCTGCTCAGTTCTTAAAGCATTAGTTACTAACATTTAATAATTGTGACATGAATATTTCATGACTTTATTATTTTCGTTGTTATATTAAGTATCACTGATTACCTAAAAAATTGCAACTTAGTACTACTCGTTAATTATTTCGATGTTTAGGTTAACTCATTTACGATTGATTATACAGCTAGGCATAGAAACAAGATTCGGCCTGTTTTATCGGCAAATGGATCACAAATGTATTGAAAGCCAAAAAGAAGAATAATGTAAATGTTGTTCAGTTCATAAACATTGGAATTCTATTTGGGAAAGAATTGCATCGATAATTTAAATTTGATTTTGCAATTGGTACATATAACTTATTTTAAAAGGCGTAAGATTGTTATTCCATATTATGGAAACAAGAGTAAAATAGCAGTCCTATATAGGTTCTGCGAGTTTAACGGATCTTTATTTAATTATGACAAATAAGCTTACCTAATTATTATCAGCGGGACTAAAGATAACAGGAATGACGAGATTTGGAAGAGCGCGATTCCAAAATTGTACGAATTATCAAGTCTGGACAACGACGAGCTAACCAGGCTAGTTAGAAATAAAATAAATAAAATCGTGAAAATTTAATACGTTAACTAACCTTTGATTTCTCTGTGTCAAACTGCGACAATGAAGAGGGGTCCTGAAAATTTTCTGAAGCATTCAAATTGTTTGCAGCATCACAGCAAAATTTATTTGCGGCAGCATGAAATGGTGTAAGATCAGATTCACTTGGATTATCTTTCTTGTCCTTAAAGTTCTCATCAGCGTAGTATTGCATGGCAGGAAATCCATCCTGAGCATCATTATTTTCCGAAGGCCGAGGACCATCTACATGTGTGGACCAGACTTGATTTTCAGGGATTGGTTCCAAGGAGGGTGACATGTAGCCATGATTACCTTCATACGAATGAGACGGCTCTTGCTTAACGCAATTATGGCTCTCGAGAGAGCTCATGACTTCATTGGCGGAGCAAGAAGAGCATGCATCGCGTGAATGTGAACAACTTAATCCAAATTCTGAAAATTTTTCCTTTATGACATCATTTGTGCTTCTGGCAGTTATTCCATCCGCCATTTGTTCGCCTTTTTTTGAGAAACATTGATCAGTAGACAAAGGTAGAATGAGATTGTCTGCGTGCGTCTTGGCTGGGCCTTCCGAGTCACCATGAGTTTGGTACCCGTTTTCTCTGAATTCGTTACCCATTTCCCACTTAAACTTCACTGGAAGAAATAAAGAAAGATAAAACGACGATTAAAATATTTTAACTACATAAATCCTATCGAGCAATTTTAATATGAAGTTTTCAACAACCAACTTGAACGCGTTGTTTCGCAATGTTTTTTTGCCGCTATGATAACGGCTGACGCAACAGACCCTCAGCTTTTGGCTAGCGTTAGTTCAATAACCTTATGCGCGGGAAACGAAGCAGCCTCGTGAAACTGCAGAATTTTCATTTCACAGCTCTCTATAAAAATTATATTGATACATGATTTTTTACTAATCTTAGGTGCAAGACGTGATGTTAACGAATATTTTTTACAAAATGCTGAAGTCACGAAGAATGAACATTTTTATTTTGCATGTTTCAACACATAGGTACTTGCATATAAATCAACGATGAGCATTTATGATAAAATATTTAGTCAATACGATAAGGATTTGCTGTTACAGCATTTATGATTGAAAAAATCAGTTCAATGGCAATATTTTTTGCAAAAAAACATTTTGTATACAATGGAAGTAAGTACGATTGAATTTCATAAGTGGAACATCGTAGAACGTAGATTATTGGTCCATCGTCGATCTTACTCGATCAGTCTATTAGTGATCATTCTGCTGACAGCTGGAGATATTATCAACTACTGTGAACTACAGTATCTCATGCAGTAATTGAATTAAAATGATCTAGGTAATTTCGATTTTTTCATGATATATACTCTGCGAGTATGGACCCAAATTTGTTTTAATTTATTAACGTTTATCAATTATTGGGAGTTGGAGATGTATCAGTTGTGTGTCCCAAAACACAACCTATGCGTATACTAATCTCTTTCAATAATTATTATGATGACCCGTATGACCTATCATCCTATGTCATGCCAGGACAAAAGTCATCTCACTTAAGAAGATCAATACTGAGTTCACATTGTGATGCAACATCAGGGAACAGTCCTTCTCCAACTAAAATGCTTCTCGATTCTACAAAATACACCACAACAAGTATAAAAAATTTCTACCGCTCACCTAAAAATAAAATATATAACGGTGTTTTGGAATCTAGCTCGGAAACTTTGTGAAGCTACGACAATCAACTTGGGAAGCGCTGTCAGCAACGACGACTTCACGAAAAACGACACCCTCTTAACACGCAGGCGAGCAGCTTACTAATGCCCGTAAGCCGCCTGCCCGCCCTGCCGCAGTCGTCAGAGAGTGACTTGAGAGAGTCCGGTAGAAAAAGAGCAGCCAGCTGATTGCTACATTCAGTCTTACAAAAATAGGCTGCGGCACGCCGGGTGCTTGCAAAGTGTACCTATCCAAGTCCTAAACTAAAGGGCCCACTATACGATAACTCTACGCATGAATGAAAACAGGCCTTTTTTAGATTAAAGAGGTTGCATTGGTAAGAATCTGCAACCTAGCTGCTGAAATTTTGGGAATATGATAGAAATTATGATTATTACATGCAGCTGATGCGTGTTGGCAATGCACATGCGTCACTGATAGTCTACCCAGTTCTATAGCGTTCGTGTTTTAGAGACAGAGTGAATGTTAATCTACGTAAGAGTTCAACTTGCAGATATTTTCATCTGCTATAAGTATATCTATGATGTATTGCCTTATTATATTAGTTAATGATAGTAAAATACTACCAAAATTTTTAAAGCAGTATTCTATGACGTTGAATTTGATTAAAATTCGAGTTGTATAAACTCATTCCTTAGAGGGCCAACTTTGTCGCAATCAAGTAAGGCTAGCTACAAGTACAGGGCCCTGTTATTGTCTTTGTTTAATTAATTGATTTAATAATTGTTTAGCTCTTAATCTGCGGCCAGCACAAACGACGCAAACTTCTAATAAATAGCTGCGCGTGACGGGCTGACGGCAAAAGATGATCGCGCTTTTGGCACGTCTCTCCCTAACCGTAGCTCATTCACCATCTACCACGTGCGAAACTGTGGCTTATAAAGTCAACGTGAGGAATGATATCTAAATCATCCTGATGAACTTAAACTTTCTCAATTATTGTATTGACGTTATTTATCAAAAAATATTAGATGGCGGATGCTTCATTAATGATGATAAAAAAATTATTACTTAATAGGAAATGCGACAAGTTTTTCATTTACTAATTTGAAGGATGCCAGGAAATTACATTTTCAGAATTTATCAAATTGATTTCATTCCATTGTTTCTATCATTGGTGACCAATGTGTTTGCATTGATTGTTGGTTAATGGTTATCCTCCCTCACACTTAGAAAATTTTTCGTTACCACCTCCTTTGCCTTCTAGCGTGTGCGCGGTGTCCACTGAAGACAGGAGGTGGCCTGGTTGCATTCAGAACTGACGTGCATTTATTATGGCGCGTCTCGATAAAAATTTAGCCTTCGAAATATAAAATCAGAACAAATATTTTTCAGCATAATGGCTTCGATAACTGATTATTAGGATATTGATTGGTAAACTGATTTTAAAATATAAAATCCAGGTCACAGAAGTAAAAAAAAAATAATCTGTCTTGCAAAACTGACGATTGACTTTGAAATTTCCCGTATTTTTCAAGGTTTATTTGTAAAACGAGCCCAAGAATGCATGTGTCAAGGTCCTGAAGAAGGAAACCCAATCTTTGTATCTACTGTTTGACTGTCAACTAAACTCCAAGTTAACATTACCCCGGAAACTTCTTCAAACATTGAATCAAATTTTTTTTCTCATTCTCGTGATAATTTTTCATTTTTTATCGATTGAAATGGGTATTATCAACCTGTTATTCGTTTACAGACAAAATGAAAATTTTTCCAGATAATATCACTAAATATTGTTATGCGAGCGCTCCCAAGGAAGACACATTTCAACCATGCTTTTACCCAAGCTCTCAATAAATTAGTAAAAGGAATTTATCGGTAAGTGTTTTTAACGCTCGTTCATTTTTTTTATACAATGCCATACTGCTTGCATGCTCAACTCTCAGGAAGGCTGCTGTTATAGCCGGGATGTCTTGTCAGCAAGAGAGGCCGATGATTGCAGAATTAACTGGATAGTTCTGGTTTATGTGTACAAAGGCGTCACTGACCCCCACCTGTCTGAGGGGGCGCTATAACCCCCACCCACCGGGCTGAAGAGGGATTTTTACCCCCACCCACCTGACTGAGGGGGGCGATCTGACTCTCCTTGAGAAGAGAGGAAGGAGGAGGAGGAAACTGACGCTTGCCTCGACAAGCACGTGTATTGTTGTATCACCAGCATGATGGTAAACGAGGTCATTTTTTGAAAGAATTTGGTACTGCCTACATACTATAAAAGAGCGCACTAGAACTCCATGTATGACTCCTCAATTGCATATTTACTAATTATTCATGGCATTGTTGCATTTGATGAAAATAAGGTTGATGCTGAGCGGTAGCCAGGTAAGGGCTTTCTTTTTTATTTCAAATTCGTCTTGAATAAAAATTAACCGTCACTGAGGAATTATAGTCTAAAGATTAGATATCTGTATATTAATTAGAATTGAAGTAATGTTTCTAGTCGGTTCAAAGATTTCAGAAATCAAACGTGTATTCGGATGTCACCAAAAAAAGGCCGTTTGACAGTTATATCGATGGTGTTAATTAATTTTTGTCCTTTTAATGAATGTCGCTAATCCAATCCAATAAAATAAAATTACTAACTTACACCATAACCAAGTTTTAAAAATATATATATAACAAATATAAACATAAGTCATCATATAACAAACATAAACTTGAATTCGATCAGCAATGCCTTTCATGTGGGTGCTTCAAGTATATGTGGTGCTTGCATATTGCAAACATTAAAAGGTGACAAAAGCTGCCTGGGCAACTATCGCCCTGTCAGTTTGACAAGTGTCGTTTGCAAGGTAATGGAATCTGTTGTGAGGGATAGGATTATCGATCACCTGACTGCTCACCATCTCATATCAGATTGTCAACATGGTTTTATTGCCGGCAGATCCTGTACCACTAACTTATTATCTACGTTGAACGATTGGACTCGCCTGCTGGACGAAAGGGAGCCAGTGGATGCATTGTACCTCGATTTTGCCAAAGACAAAGCTATGCAGGAGCATATGTTCAGTCTTAAAATGCCTAGCAAATTACGGAGCAGGCAATAAGTCCAGCAGCTATCTCAATCAATCGTCAGTTATGGAAAGATCGGGTTCCAAAGGCCGGATCCCTTGTGAATCAAGTCACGAAAAGTTCAAGAATCGGCAACAGGCCATGGGCCTATGTCTTCAACGCCGACACTTCTATTCTATTCTATTCTATTAAAAGTGTTTCTGTTTATTCATCCCTAACACTTGTAGCTACTCCATTTTTAGATAGTACAAGATTAACGTTGTAATTCAATTAAATTAATTATTAGTTCGCCATAAATCCTCGTTTACAAACATTGAAACAATGTCTCCAATTTCGCAGCTAGATATCTTAATAAATAACGGCGATCTCAGGGACATCAGTTCGAAATCAAAAGTTTTCCACAGTATGTCATCAAAACATTTTTTTTTCATTAACGAAGAAAATGTATTTAGAGCATTGACCATCTTGCTTGTCCTTGTTTCGCCTGCTAGTCGCTGAAAATCAATTACACTGACCGCCCATCGAAAGACAGGTAGATAAGATTTATAGATGTACTACCTACTCTAATTTTACCCATGAAATGTCGGATCATTTATTTTCTGCTTGTCGATTAGAATATATATGATCATCTCTAGTAATGATTGCCTTGTATTGAACAGATGTTGGTCCCTAGCTATTTTAAAATTTATTCCGCAAACTTAAATGATAATCTTTTGGAGATTAAATTGTATACGGAGTATCGTAAGCACACAAAATGACAAATTTAGTCTTTCATTAGATCGATCTTCTATCTACGCCACATCATTCATCCAAAATGCGATACTGCTAGGCATCAGGAGCTGGATTAATTATAACCCCACCGACTGGCGAGCCTAATGACTCACCGGAAGACGATCCGTAAACT